TATAACAAGTTCAAGGTGAGTCGTCTTGATGCACTTTACGTTACGCATGGCTGAGATGGTCTATAACAAGTTCAAGATGAGTCGACTTGATGCACCTTACGTAAGTTACGTTACGCATGGCTGAGATGGTCTATAACAAGTTCAAGGTGAGTCGACTTGATGCATGTAAGGGACCACATGGCCCTGCAGCCAATGAGAGGACGTTTAGGTTTGGCTGATTAGGACGGGGCAGTCTTATGCATTTGTGTGCATGCGCTCAATTACAATTGGTGGTTCCTTGCTATACATTAACACGTTGAGTGCGGCACGCACCAGGGTTGCCAGGTGGCCTAAAAACGGCCAAGTCCGCGGACAAAAACCTCCAATAATTCAATATTTAACCCTCTACCGCCTGACACGAGTAACCGGAGCAATATTGTCACAAGCCTACCTCCCAAAAAATATACGTTCTAGTGAGCGCAAAATGACTTGCACTGATGGTTGCCGCCACGTACGACAACTTTAAAATGTTTTCTATTGCGTACAAACGTCCTCAGGCTGCTGCACTCAATAGTTTACGTATAATTTTAAGTTGAAAGTTATTTTTCTAGAGAGTGACATCGGCGGTACAGGGTTAAGAGGGTTGCATTCTACCATAAGAGGGTTTACATCGGTAAGAGGGTTGCATTCCTTCATAAATGTCTGGATTTTCAGCACGCAGGGCCTTGCTTGCGCGCTCACTAGCAGAGGGAGATATGTTAGTATATCATAGTTGTTTTGTTGTATGTTAGGTAATGTGGTGTTATTTTAGTGCAGTGCTGCCTGCAACACGCGTTCTGTTAGTGCTACTAATGCTTCACGCTGTTTGTGCTGTACTCATATTGATGCATTTGGTGCTGCGTTCTGAGACACTCAGAACAATAAGCATGCTGACCTTGCCGTACTCTGCTGGTGTTCTACGTAAGAAAGTGTGTCAGGGTTCAGACAATGACACATTCAAGTGTCTGACTGTTGTAATGCTGTTACTTTTTGTTGTCACTAGTTGTTATTTTTCCCACTAGTAGTTGTTATTGTTGTCAATAGTTGCTGTTCGTGCTGCCGGAGGCTGGTGGTGGTGGCGGGGACGGTGGCGAGCAGTGGGACGCGCTGTTCGCTGAGGAAGTGCGTCACTTTGACGCAGTTTGCAAAGAACGCGGCATCAGCGGCGACACCAAGACAGGATTGTGGTGGGACCCGACCCACCCATAGCTGCGGGACGGCGGGTAGGTAGTGGCGGGGCCTGACCCACCCATAGCTGCGGGACGGCGTGTCGGAAGTCGGATAAAGTGTCAGGGATAAAGCCAAAATATTGTCAAAGTCGGATATAGTTTTCGGGTTGAAATTAAAGTAGTAAGTGTCGGGGCTGATGACAAGACGTCGTAAAAGTCAATTTTAGAGTCGGGACTGAATTCAAAAGATTGCTGAAAGAAATTTTGTGTCAGGCATCAAATAAGTCAGATAAAGCTTGCGGGCTGAAGTTGAAACTTTGCTGAAGTCAATTTAAGTGTCCGGGATGTTGCCATCGAGTTTGATTTTCTAAAAATAAGTTGAATTTCTTTCAATTCTCGAGAGGAAAATATTGTGTTTAATTTTTCAAATAATAGAGCCTGTCTTTAATGTGTTAATTGATGACTTTAACTTGTTATTTAATGGAGCGTGCCACTAGGGCCGGCAAACGCAGCTACTTGAGCCAGACTCATTTACTCATTTATGTTCGAATTAATGCTATTGAAACTTCTCCGTTGTAGTGTCTGTTTCTTCTCATACATATTCTTCATAATGTAACTTGTACAAAATCATATAATTAAGGATCACTGAGCACACACAGAACAATAAGTGAGAGACTTGACTAAATAGTGGTGCACTCTTTGCCCATGTGTGGGTCATGTTGCATTTGTGTCCTGCAAAAGGGCGTATCAGTGCTACGTCCGCTTTTTGTTTGTACTGTGGGTGAGGAAGTGTATCGCTATTTGGACAATTTGTCCCATTGATTTCTCTGAGCACAATTAATTCTTCGTACAGTGGCGAGCTTAATATGTATTTTCTGTGTAGAATGTGTTAGGAGTTGTTCACTTCACACAGGACATGTTGAATTGCCTCGCCTCGTTTTGTATAGTTTGTGGTACATTGTCAACAATTATCGCTGTATACAACATTCAATTATGAATTGATTAACGATATAAATCTGTAATTTGCTGTAATGTTTATTATTATTTTGAATAATTAATGTAATTTGGTGCATTGTGAATGTGCCAAGTGTCAGCATGGATATCCTTAAGTATACCTTTTTTCATTATACGTCTTGTCATGCCCTCAATGTCTTAACTTCTGATATATTCTTCAACCTTTGCATCGAAATCTTATAAAATTGATATTTAGGAAGACCATTGTTCAATCTATCCTAGTTCATTTATACGTCTTGCTAAAGTTACCTACTCTACTTTTGTTGTGAGTGGAATGATTTCTGAAATACAATGGGACACTCTATAATTATATTGTGTGCGCGATGGTTTATCCTAATTTATTGCTTATATGATTATGAGGAGTTAAAATAATGATTATGAGAAAGTTAAATCATGATTATGAGGAGGTAAAATCCTAAAATAACCTCGTAGTCATCGCTCCTGTCCGGGTGCCTATCAGTTCACAGTAACGTATTCCTACAAAGTCACAGTGTGCATATGGTCGACCATTGCCCTCATCAAGCAAACAATTGGAGATTGTAAAGCCAAGGCGTTGACGATCTCAGCAGGCAAGCTGTTGCAACGTTCGACTGCTAAGGTCCAATAAAGCTGCTGAGGTGTTTCCTTTTGTCCACCCTGCACGTTTTTTTTTCAAATGGTTGCCCCTCCTTCGATTTTGTTGAGACACCAGGGAAAGAATGGAGTCTGAATTAGAGTCCTAATGAATTTCTCTGATCTGAACTTAACGCTACTTCAGAGTTGGCAACATCAACTACCTATGAAGATCTGCCAACTTCAGCTAACTCAACCGTGGCACCCCTCAAGGGGACTTCTGACGCGTGTCTGTGCTCGTCAGAAGTGCTATGGGATTTCGCGCTCCTGGGGGGATTGTTCCTGAGCGCCCCACCGCTGAGCTCGCGGTGTCTGACTGCGGGTCTCAGTTGTGGGTTTGAGTTATTATGTAGGTAGGATTCCTTACATTAAGTTATTATGTAGGTAAGATTTCTTACATTTCCCTTCTCTGTCTCTCTCGTGCGGGCGGCCGACGTCCTGTGTAAGCGACCTCTTGTTCGAGTATCTTAGTTTCTGTTGCTTTTCACCTGTCCCTCCTTGTCACCTGCCCCTCCTTGTCACCTATCTCTCCTTGTCACTTCGTCTCTTTGAGATGCTAACGCTGCTTCTTTCGCGACAGCTTCAGCGGACTGGACATTTGTGACCTTCCGCCACTTGTGGGGGATGAACAATTTGAGACTCTAAATAATTGAGGCCTTCCGCCTCGCTGGCGATGTTATCTTTTGACCTCCGGTGCGAAATAGATTGATAGCTGAAGCGCTAGTAAACCATTCCAACTCACTTACTTTTTTTCAAAGGAATGTTCAAAGACGTACAACAAGGATAATTCCAGGCTTGAAGGGCATCCACCAGCTGCCTGAACATGTTCGAGGTCCACCAGCTTCCTGAACATGTTCGAGGTCCACCAGCTGCCTGAACATGTTCGAAATCATTTTACTGGTTAACATGAATATGTTCGCAACGTAAAGTCATGTTCGTCAATTAGTATCAAGCTGATATTTTTGATTACCAAGGCATAGGTTCCTAATTGAGGAAGTTTTAGAACGAGTTTACCCTGAAAATAATTGAAAACTAGAAAATGCTCATTGTTGCCATAACTAAGTTGTTTCTAGATGGAAGTTGCTGGGAAGTGATGATTGGACGCTTCTTAACCGATCGAATTTTGTACGGATAAATATACAAATTATAAAACATTTGTGTGGAGCTGGCCGTGATCAGAGCTACATGTAGTAACTAGGCAGTATTAGTGAACTAGGTGAGCTGGATGTATGAGCAGCTAGCCGCCTAGATGTAGCATTTAATTTCCAAGGGCAGGTTGCAGTCGAGGTCATTATAATAATTTAATTTACAATCATTGAGCAATTTCCTTCATGATCAGAGTGGACTAGTGCAAACTTGTACTCGTCCTGTTAATGGCTTAGGCCTCTTCCGTTCTTCTTCTGAGGCTGAGTTAACCTCACGTAGTACATTGTAAACATTAAAATAAAATGTATTTTCCTCACTTTTAACAATCATGATAATAATTAATTATTTAATGTAGTTGTATAATTACAATGAAACCGTTCTCAAAATGTGACAGTAAATCCGCATATGCTTGTCATGGTGTAATTCATGCGAGGAAATATTGGAAGTTTTGTCCCAGCTGGCAGGGACAACGCTCCCAGGCCCCAGCCAGCGGGCAGCGGTTTTCGGACTTCGGTGTCAGTGCGCTTCGAGACGTGAGTGTGAGAGATACTGCGTGCATCAGTGCGCAGGAGCGCTCCGATCAACTGAATGCCTAAAGGCAATTTATGTGCCAGACTGTAGTTACATTTTCCCATAAAAATAATGTAAAAATAAATGGAAAAACACTAAGAGATCGTCGGGTGGCAACATGTTCATCGAGTTTTCTTTATTCGTACGCGACGTTTGTTTGCTTTCACAGCGGACTAATATTTTCCCGCTTAAGTTAAAGAATGTGACGGAGAACAGGAATCATGAGGAATGAAACATGTTTGGAATTTTTTATTACTTATGCCCGCACGATAATTTTACTTATACTGCTGTCAAAAGGATTATAATAATTAATTAATATGATCATAGTGATTGGAACATTACTACTGTCAGTACTGTGAGAATGATTTGAATCTAATCCATTGTAATGAATCATGTCAGTAGTTTACTATTTAATCGGTTGATAATCGTGTGGGTGTAGTTCAGTCGTGCTGGTGCAGTGCAGTCGTTCGGGTGCATATTTCGTTGTAGGTTTATAGTGCTACGTCATTAGACTTTTTTCTTGATTGCAGGATGAGATGAAACAGGAACGTTTAAGGCTAATTCCCGGGGATGAGGAAACGTTTTATCGCAAAGTGACGGCATTAAAAACGTTTCTGTAATCAACTCGCTTGAGCAGGAAAACGTTTTTAAATTTAAGTAAAAATGAAAATATCATAACTAAAACGTTTACCTTCGAAACAACGTTTGATGAGAAAAATTCAGTTGCAGTGAACGCAACATTTCCGAACGTTTCAAATCTGCAAGATGGCGGAGGACGAGGAGGCGCCGTGCCTGACGTACGACGAGGTCACGTCGGAAGTAACGGCGGGGGCGCCGCGCCCGCTGGCAGGTGCTGATGGAGGTGAGATAAAAATTACATATAATTTTACATTACATAATACATTATACTATGATGTTTAATATCACACTTAATAGTGGGCGCTGACAGAGGTGAGCATAAAATGTACTCGATAAATAATTGTTAAGGAATAAAACTCCGTCCTTGCGTCACCGTACGAGCACAGCTGGGCATGAGGCACTATCACTGTGCATGTCTGCGTGAGGGGGCTGTGCGTATGAGCGACGTGCGTTACAGCTGCTGCCAAGTGCCGCAGCCTTGACACAGTTTGTCACGACCATGTGTACAGATTTGGCACGCAGCATTCTGGTTATATATAACTTTGATATGTTATGCATTATATTAACAGGTTATGTATCGCAATACCAATAGCAGGTTTTGACTTTTGTTCGGCGCTAGCAGTAGCAGCCTAGCAGGTTGTATTCAACAGGTTATGCATATTTTGCAAATTTACTTTTGTTGATTAGCCTATACATTTATTTTATTTATACTAGTACCTAGCTAAGAGTTTAAGACCCGCGGCACCCGCCCGGCCGCCCCCAATCCTCATTTGACATACCTTCCCTGTCCCTCCAGTCCTTCTTCACGTTCAAAATATGCAGAAGGCTTCAATTTTTTTATATTTAAACATGAAATCACACCCCCACTGCCCACTTATCCCCTACTAAAGCCTACTTTTCCTGTTCTACCTATCATCCTATGGGTTAATCTAGACTCTAGAGTCTAGAGCAGTGGTTTGGGACTGGTTCCCAACTTTTCAAGGCTGGTGCCCCCTTGGCTCCTGTTGTCCATGGATATGGTTGGTAAATGGTAATACCTATGTATGTCAAATTGTCAATAATACAGTAATGTATGGATATGGTAATATCATATCAATAATACAGTAATGTACTATTATGTATGGATAATTTATATGATAATATAATATCAATAAAGGGAAAACAAGTAAAAATCACAGAAAATGTAATTTATTCTACATCTACAAAGGAACAGGAGGACTTCAGAGTACTGTTAGTAATGGATGAGTATACACTCTGCATGCTTCAAATGTTTTAAAATTAAGTTTTATTTCAAGTGTCCCTAATTAGGCTAACCTGTTCCCAGGGGTTATCAGGGATACTTTTATGTTGCGTCTGGCTTCTTGCATATAGCAAATAGAATTTTTTCAAAGATGCCATACAGTAGCCCTTGCAAAGGCCATTAAAAGGAGCCCAAATTCATTCATGAAATGTTTCATGGCATCACGGCAAGAAGTTATTGATAAAAAACGCTCAAAACTGTCCCTTATTACCTCATTTTATGGTAGTTCTAATTAACTGATTCTAAAAAATCTCTGGTTTGCCACTATGGTTCTATATATCTGCAAACCAGAACGCAGAAGCTGTCTGTTCCACAAAGTTTTCTGCGCAGATCTTAGGTTGCAGAGAATTTTTAATAGTTTTTCATTTCTCGATGCGTCCTTAATGTGTCGGAATATACCGCGTTTACCCTACTGTTAGTAATGGATGAGTACACTCTGCATGCTTCAAATGTTTTGAAATTAAGTTTTATTTCAAGTGTCCCTAATTAACCTGTTCCCAGGGGTTATCAGAGATACTTTTATGTTGCATCTGGCACCTTGCATATAGCAAATGGAATTTTTTCAAAGATGACATACTACAATAGCCTCGCAAAGGCCGTAAAAATGAGCCCAAACTCATTCATGAAATGTTTCATGGCAAGAAGTTATTAATAAAAAATGCTCAAAACTGTCCCTTATTACCTCATTTGACGGTAGTTCTAAATTCTAATTAACTGATTCTAAAAAATCTGGTTTGCCACTATGGTTCTATATATCTGCAGAACGTAGAAGCTGTCTGTTCCACAAAGTTTTCTGCGCAGATCTTAGGTTGCAGAGAAATTTAGAGAATGGCAAGTTATAAAAGCCTCCCATTTTGGAATAATGGGCAGGCTGAATTAAAAAAAATGCTTGTGAAAACAATTACATAGGTATACATATATAATATAGCGGTTTCAGCATTTTTTAGGCCGTCGGCCTGTTGCAGAACGATGCAGATTCTTAACATTGCAGAAAATCCACAGCTTGTTGCAGGGAGCTGGGCTTGAACAGGTAAACTTGCAAGTCACTGCTTCAATTTTCTTTACTTGACCACCCAGCCTCCTTGCCGATTCTGACCAGAAACTGGCGCACTCAGCCGCACTGCGCGCACAGAGCTGGGATCAAACCCACTCCTCTCTGCTCCAATCTTGGTACTTTCACTCTGAACTTTAACCACTGAGCTGCAGTCAGCCACCCATATCAGGGGCTATATATGAGAATTGTAGGCATAAAGGTTCTGTTTTCCTGCATTTTTATTAAATAAATAAGACAAAGGCCACACTGTGACCATTGCCTAATAATTTCACCCACTTCTGTGGCCACCACAGAAGTGGGTGAAACTGTCATGATGCACAAAAGTTTTTATCTCATTCTCTGGTGAATTTTTCCCAATTTTTTAGTATGGTAGAGCAGGTATTAGGTAGCCTGATAGTGATAGGCCTCGCATCATTTCATGCAGCAACTTTTTTAGTTCTGCTGAAGCTTAGTGGCAAAGCAGAGAGTTTTTTAGACTCTTCTTCAAGTTCATTAATGAGTCCCATAGTAGACCAGTAAAGAATGGATTCCAGCATTATCATACGTAAGAAATTTGTTAAAATCTTGATTAGAAGGTGAAATTAAAATTGAACTGATTCTAAACAAATCTGGGGACGGGGTTTGTCACTATGCATGGGATGGGGGCATAGATAAAATTAGCTGTGGGCTTGGGCAGTTTTGGCTCAATAAGCTGTGTCTTCCATTCAATTTTTTAGAAAAAGATCAGTGTTTAAGCCTCAGGCATGATTGTGGTTATTTTTAAATTTATATTTAAAGTTAGAAAACTTGGATAGGATGACATTTTTTGGCTCCAAAGTCATTTAAATATTCTGGTTGATTGAGAAGTCTAGCAGCTGCATAACCCATAACATTTATGGGTTATGCATGCATATTATGCATTTTATTTTAAATACTGTAGAAACCAGTTCTTTGTTGCAAATAAGAATGGCAGCGCAAGGTTCTTGATGATCATTTAATTTGATAGCTGAATCACTTGCATTCATACATGGAATATAATATACCGTAACCTATAAGACATAAGAGTCTTAATGACAAAAACATAGAAACATGGGTGCAAAATTTATTATGAATTGAAGAAAATAATTATTAATTTGTTATTTTTATGATTAACTATGTAACTGAGTCAGAATATTTATGGTTTTGCAAATGGTTTCACCACTGAGTTGATGGATTCATGGCTTGGATTATTAGTTTAACATTTGCATTGTCAAACAACACACAGCTCTGAAACACCAGTTGTTTTTGTGAGTTTATTTATTACTTATCTGCATTTCTGCCAGTGCACTTTTCTTGCCTCATAACTCAATAGTTTTTAGTAGTTTAGCTTCTATGGGAATATTTGTTTGAAAATCCTTTCTTTCACCTTACTCATTGCTTCCTACCATCACCTATTGGGGACCTGATCTTTCTCTTATGGTGGTGCCTTACTTGCTTTTAGCATTGCTTGTGCTTACTTGGAAGCTTTTTCTCTTAGTAATGTTCCTGTAACTAAAAAGGTTTGTGTAAGTATGAATGAAGTCTTCATGCTTATTGGCTACCTATATCTTCATACAGAAAATAGAATGCTGCATAGAAAATTTCATGACTATTGTAATGCTAGAGTTTGAAGGATGCTTGAGTCCAAGAAATGTTCTCAGATTGTAAGCTTACAAATATCAAGTTGAGAATGTGAAGAGACTCATTTATTCAGAGTCTTATTATTTATCAATGATCTTGTTGTTTTCTATCATGGAGGCAAATATATTTATTTTTATGCCCTTCTTGCTATTACTGCCCTGACACACTTAACTACTAGTATATCTAAGACTTCATACACTCTGCTTATTAAGTCTTGTGGCATTTCTATCCATAGAAATATTTGTTCAAAACACTGGTATTTTAATGACTTTATGTATAGTATTCATTCTGATAAATAATCAATCTTCNAAGCCTCACACCACCACAGCATGCAAGCCTCACACCACCACAGCGTGCAAGCCTCACACCACCACAGCATGCAAGCCTCACACCACCACAGCATGAGGATGGCTCTGAATATGATGAGTTTTCCTGCCAGTTGGGATTATTTTTTCAAGTTATTTTCAAGCAAAAGCATTGAGATGTTGTGTCCTTTGTACTTCTTTTTATTACTTGTATTATATATCTTAATAATGATGATCAGTGAAGTATAGATAGCAAACTATGGTGATAAATGCTTCATCTTCTTGCAGTTGGGAATCAAATGCTTGGCAGGCATGAAGATTACAAAAGATCCAAATCTCGTAATAACCTTGCCCAGCTTGCATGAATCTCTACAGCTTATTGTTTTTGATCATTTGCTGGGCTTTCAATTTATGATTTAATTATAAAAAATGAATCCATGAATCAAGCACCATCCATCACAGTAGATTCTTTTCAAGTATAGTTAAGTTAAGCTGGAATTCCTTTCAAGCTTTTAGAGCTATAGACAACAAACTTCACCGCTCTACGGTCTCCATCTTTCACAGCGGTCCTCAAATTTACACATATTCAATCAGTAGTTTTTGAAATGCAGAGATCAATTATTTCTAGTAAAGTAGCATTGTTACCGGAGGTTAAATTAGGCTACTATGTAGCCCAACCTTCATGTCTTTCTTTATCAATAATCATATTTATTCATGGCTCAATCCAACTCAATTTAAATTAAATTCAATATTTTTATTCTTAAAATACAATTTGCAGACTTGAAGTATCACTCTTGAAGTATTCATGAAGTATTCTCAGCCTGGGCACTCAGTTGCACTGGTGAGTGCCAGGGAAATTTATATCATTTATTCATTGATAATTTAGGTTGAGTTGTCCTTCTTATTTTGCTAACTTCATTGATATT